TAAATGAGTCCCTGCTGCAGGCTTCTTGAGATGGCTGAAGAGTGTCTACAGTTTGGGTTAGGAGAGGAAGTAAATGCACCTGCGAGGAACCTTTGTTCCCAGCTGGAGACTGATGGGGCAGTTATAGCGGTGAGGAGGAGCTAGGGCACTGGCTTTCGTTTGTCAAACACCTCAGCCCTGTGTTGATATTTAACAGGTATCACTGGAACCATGGGGGTGCTGTGGGCATTGCCTTTGGATCCTGTCTACAGTTTGGGTTAGGAGAGGAAGTAAATGCACCTGCGAGGAACCTTTGTTCCCAGCTGGAGACTGATGGGGCAGTTATAGCGGTGAGGAGGAGCTAGGGCACTGGCTTTCGTTTGTCAAACACCTCAGCCCTGTGTTGATATTTAACAGGTATCACTGGAACCATGGGGGTGCTGTGGGCATTGCCTTTGGATCCAGGGGGGGGGGTCAGAGCTGAAGGAGGCCCAGCCAGAACTTGCAAGACTGCATTCCAAGCCTACAGGATGTCAGCCTGGACCTGCCAGTTGTGGGGATCCCACTGGCTCACTCGGAGCAATGTTGGCTTCAGGGTGTATCTGCTCTCCTGTATTGTTATGTGCTGGGCGGCTGCAGCTGTCAGTGATGGAGACAGTTGTCCCTAGTGGTCAGAGCAAGAGTCAGGTATGGTGGTAGACTATCATTTGAGAGTCAGGAATCAGAGCCCAGAGTCAGGACCAGACGACTGGGAGCGTAGCAAGGCATGAGCAAAGCTGGGAATGAACAGGAGGGATCACAGACACAACTGACTGCTAGGAGCAACTCTTGAACTGCTGCTACTGGGCTTAGCAACTGATCAGTGGAGCCCTCCAGCCAGTCAGGGTGTGTAGCCAATCAGGCAGGCTCCTTCCGACCAGCTGCCAGCAGGAGACTGGCTCTCTTGCAGTCCTGCTTCCAGAGTGGATCTGCTACAGGACCTAAGGCAGGAGCAGGACAGGAAGAAGGTAAAACTAGGCTGGGAAGGGTCAGCACTTGGGTTTTCACAACTCTCTCTCCTTCCTCAGGAGGAACTGTCCAACGTCAACCTCACCAAGTTCCGCAAGATCCAGCATGAGCTGGAAGAGGCTGAGGAGCGAGCTGACATTGCGGAGTCCCAGGTCAACAAACTCCGGGTGAAGAGCCGCGAGATTCACAGGAAGATTGAAGGAGAAGAGTGAGGATTTCACCGTGCTGCAAAGTGACTGAAGAGATGCACAAAATGTGAAACGCTCTGTCACTCTGCTTTGTATTTAGTGTTTGTTCTGTCCCCGGTGTCTAGCAAATAAAGATTATAGAGACCTTTGCATACAAAGAACTAGTGGCTTTTTTTTTTTGCAGATTACCTCTGGGGTCTTATTAAGGTTTGTGTGACAATATTAACTCTTGTCCCTTGCATGCTTCCATTACAATATAGTCTTAAATTAGACGATAATATCATATTTCTCCCTTATACATTACTGGAAGATTTACCCAACATTGCTCAGGTCCTTCAGGGCAAGGGACTTGGCATGTGGGGAGGTGCAAAGTCAGGGCTGGGGCTTGGAGATGCGGGTGGCCCAGGGTAGGAGGCTGGGGAAGAAGGGGTTATTGGAGTCAGGGTTGGTGGGGGTGAGGGGGTGAGGAGGGACTCAGGGCAAAGAGTGGGGGTGTAGGAGTCAGGACAGGGGTTAGGAGGGAGAGGGCTCAGGACACAGGGTTGGGAATGGCCAATGGCTACACCCTGGGGCCGGGGCAGCAGGGGCTGGGCAGCCCATCTGCTGACCTGGCGGGGCGGGGACCATGTAGCCCACCTGTCAGCTACTCGTCGGTGGCTAGCAACACACAGAACACCCCCTTCCCCAACCAGCCACTCTGTTACAGGTACAGCTGCCCCTTTGTGGTGACTCACCAATATAAATGTCCCCAGCACTTGCTGCCCCCTGTGATTATTCTGGAGCATAACTGTCCCTGCTATCACATCCCTCCCTTTCTGTTTGATGGGAAACAAACCCATACCAGGCACATCCCAGTGTCCTAGAATAATCAGACTTTGGCCTGGCTTCAAGTTATGATAAGAGGAAGCTGCATACCCAATTTGGTGGTCCTCGCTTTTACCATTTAGGAGGAGCAGACATGGACAGACAGATGCCCAAACTCTCTCAAATATATAGTAGATTACATTATTCGGGGGGGAGGGGGAAGTGTTCAATGTGACACAATAATTTAGAAAGTGAGTGCTCAAGAGTAAGAAATTCCACGTCAATGTTAAAACTTCAGCCTAAGCCCTGTTCTGTTACATACGGGTTCTTATATCCTCCTCCTCATCATGGTATTTGAGTACTTCCCAGTCACGTATTAGATGGCGGAATTAACTCTTGTCACAGGTTGTTTGTTCTTTCTCTCAGCCTCTCTACAGGAAGGACTTGTGTGCACAGAGGAGTGTTTACTTTTGGTAGCGCTAGCCAAAGTTAGGCGAGGGAGTTCTCGGGGTAAAAGAGGAGCAATTAAATGATCCTTGGGTAAGTTTGTTGTCTGTAGTGTGTGTGTTTGCTTGCTGCTTGACTGAAAGATACCTGGGGCCTATTTGCTTTGGGGACTGTGTGCTGATCCTAGAGTCTTGCACGGCAAGGCTAAAAGCTGTTTAATGATGCATTGATCCCTGAACTCTTTAGCACCCATCAATCCGTAAGTGGTGGGGGCTACTCAGGCCTTTAGAAACCCCACTCGTAAGCAACCAGAGGAGCTAACAATCAGGGGAATTATGGGAGGGTGTTTAGAAGGGAAATGTGCGTGATTCAGCGGGGAGGGAGAAGGGCCAGATTAACTTAAAGTTATTATTAAATTTATGATTCTATTAATGTTCTTTAGTCTTTTTTATACTTAAGGCCAAAAACAGCCCTTGAGAAAAACAAAACATCAAGAAAAGAATGAATTGCAGGAGTAAAAAGACAATGCAGGCAGAAGTCCAGCAGTAGAACGGGGGCCATCCAGTTTATTGTACCCAACGTAGCATGTACGATTACTGATATACATGTGCATCAAGGAGCTCTTGGCCCTCTGAGACTGTGTATGGGCGTTGAAGACCAGAGTGGCTGAACTGGGGAGACAGAGAGGTACGTAGATGAGATTTCAGGAAACAGTAGAATGGTCCCACCTATGGTCTAGCAGCCTCTGTGCTGTTGAGGAGGATGAAAGTCTCAGGAAAGGAAAATATCCAACTAGAGCTGAAGGAAATGATTTGATAGTTGGGACCCTCCTTCCAGATGATGAGGTATCCTCTCGCATGGAGGATACCTCTCTGGGAGAGGGATTCCACTTATTAGGAAGAGACGGGTAATAGTTATGGGGGATTTGATCATTAGAAAGATAGATAACTGGGTTTGTGATGACTGGGAGAACCACATGGTGACATACATGCCTGGTGCGAATGTTGCAGATCTCTCGAGACAATTAGATAAACTGATGCGAAGGAGGCAGTGATCATGGTACACGTATGATGTTTCCAGTTCTACATGCAGGGCCAGTTAGACAGGTTTCAGTGTGTGGATGAGACAAGGGAACCTGTACAGGAAGGACAGGCTCCACTTAAACCAAAATGGAACCAGATTGCTGGCACTTTACATTTAAAAGGTCATAGAGCAGTTTTAAACTAAAGGCTGGGGGACAGTTGACAGGTGTGGAGGAGCATGTCGAAGTATTTCCTCATATAATGCACAGACTATCTGCAGAACACTTTGCCCGAGGATGTTGTGAAAGCCAAGACTATAAGAGGGTTCAAAACACAACTAGATAAATTCATGGAGGACAGATCCATCAATGGCTCTTAGCCAAGATGAACAGGGATGGTGTCCCTACTCTCTGGTTATCAGATGATTGGGGATGGATCACTTAATGATTATCTGTACCGTTCATTCCCTCAGGACCACCAGGCACTGGCCTCTGTCAGAGGACAGGACACTGGTCTAAATGGACCTTTGGTCTGACCCAGTATGACCCTTCTTTTGGTCTTTGGGTTCTTTGGCGGTGGTGTTTTGATATATTAGTTAAGATGCAAATTCCCATTACTATTTAAATGTATTCCTCCAGAATACTTCCCTAGTTTGCTTATGAGAATGTCATGGGGAATGTGACAGAAGCCTTATTAAAATCAAGATACACCATGTCTACTGCTTCTCTCCTATCCACTAGGCCAATGTTCCTGCCAAAAAGGGAAATTAGGTTGGTTTGGCATAACTTGTTCTTGACAAATGGATTATTCCTTATACACCTATTTATTCTCTCGGTGCTTACAAATAGATTGTTTAATAATCTGTTCCAGTATCTTTCTAGGTATCAAAGTTAGGTTGATTGGTCTATTATTCCCCAAGTCCTCAATGTTACTCTTTTAGAAAATAGGTGCTTTGCTTGCCCATTTCCAGTCCTGTGTTGGCTTCCTCATTTCCCTGGAGGTGCTCAATCCCTGCTCTGCCCAGGCCCCATCCTGGCCTCTGTCGGAAGACAGGCTACAGGGCTAGATGGATCTTTTGCTCTGACCCAGTGTGGCCGTTCTGATGGTTTTATGGTCTCATCGGGCAACACAGATTGTAGATATATTGTGTATAATTATGATCTGATTTTATTGTGTTTTGAACAAACTTCAGTTCCCACCCAAAAGCTGTCCAGGTGCATTCTCTTCTGTCTTTTTGAGTCACTCCCATGTTCTCCATGGAAGGAAAAAGGACAGTTCTTCTTAGTGAGATAAGAAAGGTAGAAACTTCCGAGGCTAGCTAGAGAGCAGTGTTTTCTGAACCCTGGTGGGTGAGAAGCTGCCTTCTTTTGGCTGTTTATGTAAATGAGTGCAAACATGCTCTAAACATGCAAATCAATAGACTAAGCTATTTGCATGAGCACTCCAGATTTCTGGCCCTTCTGCAATAACAGGTATGTCTGTTGATGGAAGAGTGCAGAGAGCGTTCCAGGTGCCTGTGCTTAGTGCTCACAACAAAGCCACCTCAGTGGTAGCTGAGAGGGAAGATGGTGCCGCCAACCCCCTGCCTATACTGACAGGCTTGTGAGGGAGGGTAAGGAGTGAGGGTTGCGCATGGAGAGTCCATGCGAATTTGTAGGGACACAGCTTAGACCAAGCTTGAATGGAAAACAACCACCAATACAGGCAGCAAGCTGTCTAAGACAGACATGAAAACCTGACTGAAAAAGAACCAAGTATCATGCCAAGTTGTCAGTGGGAGCCTGCATTCCTATGTGACAGCTGTTCGTGACCTAGCTCCTCACAGATCTGACTGCACAGCCTCAAGAGAACACATGAGATGCCTTGGAGGCATAGTTGGATCGGATGGAGCTGCACCATGTGCGGTGAGGTGGGAGTCTTGGCAGACTAAGAGCACTGCTTTGGTTTGAGTTCAATTTCAGAAAGACAGAATGAAGATCGGAGAAAAGGTTAGCTTAGTTATGTGGCCTCCTCTGTGCTGGGTAACATGAGCCCCCAGGATTTGAGACTGTGTTCCATCGGCTGGGCTTGCAATGCAACTCACTACAAAAACTGACATCTGCAGTGTGAGGAACAATGAATGGAATTCAGAAGTAAGTTACAATCAGCCATCAGTGTGTGAGAGAGCGGATCCCAAATGCAGCCAGGCAAAAGGGGACTACCTAACTATAATTTTGGCACAAAAACACAGCTTCTTCAATACCAAAATATTTTGTGAATTCATGTCAATTTTGCTGAATTCATTTGGCCAAGGAAACCCTTATAATCTGAAATGTTTTGGTTTGAAATTTTCTAAACAAAATGTTTCAATTTTTTGCTTTAAAACTGTCTTAAATTTAATTTTGAAAAAAAAAATATTTAAAAGCGCAAAATCTACACAAAATGGTGTTACATAAAGGATGATGATAATAGTATCCGATTGAGACACTGGGACTACTTCTACACTGGCATGATTTTCTGAAAATGCTTTTAACGGAAAACTTTTTCGTTAAAAGCATTTTCAGGAAAGCACATCTAGATTGGCAGGATGCTTTTCCGCAAAAGCACTTTTTGTGGAAAAGCGTCTGTGGCCAATCTAGAAGTGGTTTTCCTCAAAAAAGCCCCGATGGCCATTTTCGCGATCAGGGCTTTTTTGCGGAAAACAGTCCTGTGCTGTCTACATTGGACCTTTTGCGCAAAAGCCTTTCGGAAAAAGACTTTTGCCCGAACGGGAGCAGCATAGTATTTCTTACATGAGATCGTCAGTGCTTTTCCGGAAATTCAAGCGGCCAGTGTAGACAGCTGGCAAGTTTTTCTGCAAAAGCAGATGATTTTGCGGAAAAACTTGCCAGTCTAGACACAGCCTGGGC